TGGGTTGGTCCTGCTTGTGCCTTGGGTACAAGCGGGACGTGTGTTTTTGGGGTACCCAGCTGGGGGCATTGATTCATGAATCGCTGGGCGATCCGGTACGGCTTGTTTCGTGCTTAGCGTCGTAGTAAGAACTGAAAGATGAAAGATGGAAGATGAAAGGAAATCTGATTGCTTACCACCTGCTTGAAAGTAGTACAGGTACTTACATAGAATGTTAGTTAATGAACCTATGCGGCTATTAATAAAAATCGAATATAAGGACGCACGTTTAGTAATGCTTCCTACAAATGCAATAAACCCACAAGTCAGATAGCCTTGCATATCCTTGGAGTCTTTCTTTCCTCCTGTCGGGTAAGTCTTGCTGAGTACAATTGAGTACTCAGGCCCTGTTTGGTTGAGCTGTGGCTGTGGGAAAAAGCTGCTGTGGGCTGTGAGCTGTGGAAAAGCTACTGTGGGCTGTGAGCTGTAGAAAAGCTGAAAGCTGTTTGGTTAAACAAGTATAAAATATACCTTTTATCTTTATCTCTCTTGAAACAACTATGGAAGAGCTTTTTATTCCACCAATTTCGAAAAACAGAAAGCCAAAAGCCAAAAGCAGGGTCAACCCAGCTTTCAAAAATGAACCACGGAAAAGCAGCTGCTTCTGAAAAAGCACCCTCCAAAAACAGCCCCTTTGGTTAGGCTTTTAGCTTTTGGGGCCAAAAGCCAAAGCCAAAAGCCCAACCAAACAAGACCTTAGGGTTTTATTCCCCCTGTTGCAGGTGACAGGTGGATGCTAGAGCTGACCCTTGTGTGTGGATACCTTCTGGTGGGCTCAGCGAGGATTCCTTTACGCTGCGATCGTAGTTGTTATTTACAACTCTCACCAAGTGCTTTTATAAATGAAAGTTTCATAACCTGTTGTCGTAGTTTATTTATCAATACTTCATTATGTCATGATTAGATATTCATTTCCGCTGTAATTCTGATCACATGTTTATATTCCGCTGTCTAATTAAATTGTTCATAACTTTGATAATATGATTTCTTTCCGCTGTTATACAATAACTATTATACTCTGATGTTGTACTAAAAGTGATGTAAGAAATGGTTAAGAATGATGTAAGCTTTATTCTCTCATTTGTGATCCTGATAGCAAAAATGTGGATTTTCGGGTTCTCCCCTAGGGTGTGCCCGACGGAATCGAATAATTTAGTGTTCTCCCCTAAGTACTTAGTGTCTAATGGAAGACGAGCACTCCTGTGAGGCATTAGATTAGGTGGTTCTGCCACAACCTCCATAGATCGAAGTGGGGGCTGATCCCCAGAAATCCCTCGCACAGGGCGATGAACGTCGCCATGTGCTGGATCCCGTTGGGATTGAGGTGCTGCAGCTCGATGTTGTAGTAGTGCAGCAGGCCCCAAAGAAATATGTGGGCGGGGGTCGTGAACCCACGCTCATGGAAGTGGGCGAACGACACCACGTAGCCGTCAGGTGGCGACGACAGATCCTCCTTGCCGGGCAGCAGTCACTCCTCGACCGAGGTCCGCTCGTGGAGAAGACCGCGATGGATGAGACCCTCCATGCGCTGGAAGGTGATGTCAGAATGGCACCACAGATCCATTGGAGGTGGGGACGGTTGGATGCGGGCTTGATGGCGGTGGGGATGCGGAGACGAGGAACCCTAGGCGATTGGTGGCGGCGGTCGTGGCTGCGGAGGCAAGGATGCAAGGTATGAAACCCGGGGAGCGAACCCTTTGGTTTTATAGGGGCGACAGGTGCAAGGAAACCAACCGCCCGCCTAGATCTCTGTGCCTGCCACGATCAGCCACAACGTCTCGCCGCGGGAAGTGCACACGTAATCTCTGTCCGTTCCCTCAGAAAACTCACCAGGCATTTCGCCTCTCCGGACGGGCCACGACTCGTCACAAGTAAGAGGAATACGGGTCAAAAAACACCTCTACGCCCTGCCTGAGCCCAGAAGTTCGAAGGTTGGCCCATCGACAGGTTTGACAACCGCTCCGGGCGCCCTTAGGGTAAGCGATGGGCCCGCAAGCGGCCAGTACCCAGGCGCACGAGCGCCACAGGCATCCTAGCCCACGATCGAGTCTCAGCCGGGTACGATCCATGGTTTTTCCCTGAAGAAAGGCAGAGAGCCCTCGGGACCGGTCTAACGGACCCGAGAACTATGTGGATTGACCGCTGAGAATCTAAAGTCGGTCACCAAGCTGACCCTAGCCAGATCCCCACGAACGGGATGCCGGGAACCCACTCGAACTAGCCAGCTAACAACCCACCAAAATCTCAGCCATGCCCACGAAGGGTCCGACCTCGAAGAGAGGGAATCACCATCCCCGGGACATGCCATGGGCAACAACAGGAGGCCAAGACCTTCAGAGTCCTCCCATTCGGAAAAACCTCCGAAGGAGTATTCTACTCCTCCGTAGGCTCGGGGGCTACTGTCAGGGACCAATACCAGGGTACCCGAAGAGGAGGAGCTAATAACCATCCATATTGATTCGTTCGAGCAGTCAAGAGCGTGACTACAGCTCTACCCGACCTCCAAATGCGCAAACTCCGCCTCGCCCAACCCCTGAGGGTTGGCTCCGCCTCGCCCGACATCGAGGTCGTGGGCTTCACCTCGCCCAACCCCTGAGAGTTGCTCCGCCTCACCCGACACCGAGACCGCGGCTCCGCCTCGCCCAACACCGAGGCCGCGGGGTCCGCCTCGCCCGATCCCTGAGGGTGGCTCCATCTCGCCCACTCCTGAGGGTGGTTCCACCTCGCTCGACACCGAGGCTACGGGCTCCGCCTCGCCCGACCCCTAAGGGTGGCTCCGCCTCACCCGACACCTGAGGGTTGGCTCTGCCTCGTCCGACACCGAGGCCACGGGTTCCACCTCGCCCGACCCCTGAGGGTAGCTCCGCCTCACCTGACACCGAGGCCGCGGGCTCCACCTCGCCCGACGGAGACCCATACCACCGTCAACCATTCCAAGTCCAAGCGTGTGGGCCTGGGTCAAAGCTCTGACACCAGGAAAGTGACCGGCATGCCCCGATTTAACCTGTGGCCACGACGGGCCATACCTAGGGGTTCACGTCAGGAACAACGTTGGGCGTACCGGTGCTGTTCTGTCTAACCCCCGTACGAACATTGACGGACGCGTCAGTTCACCACGACGTCTGCCAAGACGGAGTGGAGCGCCATGACCGGCAGACGACGCCTGAACATGGCACCAGTGACGGACAGGGTCGCGACGAGAAGTTGTCCCTGTTGACGTCTACAGGATCAGCGGAACCCGCATAGAGGAGAATGGACCCGGCGATCCTGAAAGACTTTTTCCTCTCGTTCTCTTCTTTTCTTCAAAAAAAACCGTGCTTTCCCTTGACCTATAAAAGGGAAAGCAGGGCGTTCCATTAGAGACATCGGAACTCATCACAACACACCACAGGAGACTCGAATCCGATCAACTCATCGAACCCCGAACATACAACTAAGCTGCGACCGAGCTCTCGGCACCCGTTCATCCTTTCCATCAGAGACTTGGGACATATCCCTCTCTCGATCGTTTGTAACCCCTACTACGAACTTTCAGTGCTAGTAACACGAGCAGCAGCAACGAACTGGACGTAGGGACATTCTGCCCGAACCAGTATAAACCTCGTCTCCTCTTAGCATACCATCCGAGCCAGACGCGTAATATTAGAAATTTATTTGTTGGTGGCAACTCGAAACACCGACAATTTGTATCAACTATCAATGGACTTACTGGCTAATAGAACTTCTTTTGATCAGTGTTGCACAGGTGTGGGGCTGTAACAAGACGGTGAAGTACTGTGGAATTGAAATTTTGCCACTAAATATGTGAAGACCTGAAATCTTGAATATCTGAATGTGAATGCCTTGTGTTAACCAGGCCTGATTAAGTTATGTTGAAGGTGCAGGGAACCTTTATTATTTCCCAACATATGAAATATCTGGTTTTTTTGGAAAATCAACAGAGTCGGCTCTGAACTGCTATGAACTCTTTTGTCTTGCAAGCCATTCCGTCCACATGCAACGCTAACGGTGGCTAACAGAGGTGGAAAAAGACAGAGGTGCCCTCAGGCTAGAGTATCTTGTTGAAAGTTGTGTTTTCCTCCCGTGCAACTCGCTGGTTCTGTGTACAAATTTTTTATATTAGAAATGGTTTCAAGTGAAAAAGCCCAGTAAAACTTCCGGGCTTTTCATCTTTCTTAACTAATTGCGATTTCCTCCCGTGCCACTCGCTGGTTCTGTGTACAAAATTTTTACATTAGAAATGATTTCAAATGAAAAAGCCCAGTAAAACTTCCGGGCTTTTCATCTTTCTTAACTAAATCACATATACGATTTATATATATCACCAAAAATCAAAAAGAAGTATGCCAATCTTTTCATGACAACTAATCACATATACGATTTCAAGAAAGAATTGCTAGTGGGAAAAGACAAATCCAATTGCAAAACAAAAAATGTTGCCCCATAAACAAAACTAAAACGAAGTACTATTGGAAGCAATATACTCTGAATATTAGCCGAAGCAATATACTCTGAATATTAGCCGAACGCTAAGCATTAACAGGTGAACGAAAGAGTATACATTGCCAATGTCGCTGCCTGATTACATCTGAACAATGTATATCATCCAACTAAGCAAAGAATTCAAACGCCTAAACACTAGTCTAAACAGCAACCTATCTTGCCATTACAACTTGAGAACAAGGAACTACCATGACCAACTAGAGCATGGCTCTAAAACCTCCAGTTGCATCCTTAAGCGATCGATGAACTCGCCGAGACAACGCGAACATCGGACTAGCCGATGACAACACTGCTGCTGCCGCTGAGGCGGTGAGCACCGCACACGCGCTGGACCGGACTAGTAGAACCACGGTGGCTGGGCTCCTAGGATGACGACACTTTCTGCTTGCTCTGCCATGACTGCTCCACCTCGTCACCGTTGTACGACTGCGAGGCCGTCCGGGTCCGATCGGTGGAGTCTACGGAATTGGGCTCCCACGAGCACGTCCAGGCGTTGCCGGCAAAGCTATTGCTCCCCGCAGACTCTTGCGGCTCGGTCTCCCCGCAGATGTCACGCACGGAGACGTATTGTGCATGCTCGGCTCCATGAGGTCGTCCTTCACGCCGACCTCCGACTCCACCATGAGGGTGCCCGCACCCTTGCCGCCGTACACGGGCCAGGTGACGACGTCCCGGTGCGGCATTTCGTCGAACACGGCCCGCGCGGCGGCGCCCGCGCGAGGCAGCTTGGCGTAGGTATCGACGAGCGCGTTGGCTACGTAGATGTGGGGCGCAAGGTCCACGCCGAGGAGCAGCGCGGCCACAGCCGCGGGCGGTCCCCGAAGGAGCGCCGCGGCCTTCATCTCCCGCTCCACCATCCGCAGCGCCACCACCACCGCTCGGCCAACACGGGCGAGCTCTCGCCTGGCCACCGCGAACGGCGCGCGTGCGAGCTCACCTCGCGAGCGGCGTCCACCTCCCCGCGCGTGCACCTGGTCGACATTTGCCCGCAGCGCCGCGGCCTCGAACAGGCGCGCCGCCGCCGCCGCCTCAATCCGTGCGTGTGTGCATGTGAGCGCGATAGAGGATAATGTTAGGAAAGACGGATACTTTGGACATTTTCACGTCTAAACGTTGAAAAACAAAGGAATGCGATGGAATAAAAAAGAGTGATCGATGACGGTCCAATTTTCGGGAAGACCCAAAATAAGCATCCTCAAAAAAGACCTCAACCTGGGTGACTAGGATGGACGAGAGCAAAAAGAATTGTTTTGTTGTCCCTATGACAATGAAATCAAAGGCCAACGTCCTGATTCTATGAAAAGACTTTTCAATACAAGGCTTCCGAGAAAGATCAAGACCAAAATGAAGACAATGCGCCAGAGAACGGAGATAGATCATCAAAGAACTCCAAAAGAGTTTAGAGCAATAGCACCTATAACCTCAAACTTTTTAATGATATAAAGACAATTATAAAAAATTTAATGGCACACAGATAAAACCCTCTTTTATTTCTATATATATATATATATATATATATAAAAATCTTAATCTTATTTATTTACATTGAAGGGAGCACTTCGTGAAAGTTTGATTCTAAGTGAGCACAACCTCACTTGGACTAGCTTACCTTTCCAGTGCTAGCGAGCTGAATTCGCTTGCCGGTGGAAGCAAAGCAAAACGCTCGCTAGTTGAGGTCCCAAAGCCTCACCTAGGAACCCAATAACCATGTTTCACTGATTTCTGATTTGGAAGGCTGCACAGTACTTGTCAAGAGAACTTAGCAAGGTGGAGTGAGATGATCCTAACTCTGGTTTGAGGAATAGGATGGCCCCGGGATAGCCCCATTTTTGGCTCAAGAGGGACGGGACTGCCACATGTCTTGTTTTTAAATGGGATCAACCACATGACAAGTAAGGCCCACGTTCATTCTCTCTCTTTTTTTAAAAAAAATTCTTTCCTCTTCTTCCACCGGATCTCCGTACAGATGCCGCCTCCATGCCTGTGGAGGTCGGCCTCGAACAGGCGCGCCGCCACCACCACCTCAATCCGTGCGTGTGTGCATGTGAGCGCGATAGAGGATAATGTTAGGAAAGATGGGTATTTTGGACATTTTCACGTCTAAACGGTGAAAAACAAAGGAATGTGATGGAATAAAAAAGAATGATCGATGAAGAAAATCAGTCCAATTTTCCGGAAGACGCAAAATGAGCATCCTCAAAAAGACCTCAACCTGGGTGACCAGGATGGATGAGAGCAAAAAGAATTGTTTTGTTGTCCCTATGACAGTGAAATCAAAGGCCAACTTCCTGATTCTATGAAAAGACTTTTCAATACAAGGCTTCTGAGAAAGATCAAGACCAAAATGAAGAGAATGCGCCAGAGAACGGAGATAGACCATCAAAGAACTCCAAAAGAGTTCAGAGCAATAGCACCTATAAGCTCAAACTTTTTAATGACTTGTAGATAATTATAATTTTTTTAATGGCACACAGATAAAATCCTCTTTTATTTCTCATATATATATATATATAGGTGCAAACCCGTGCACAATCTTAATCTTATTTAGGTACGTCGAAGGGAGTACTTTGTGAAAGTTTGATTCTAAGTGAGCACAACCTCACTTGGACTAGCTTACCTTTCTAGTGCTAGCGAGCTGAATTCGCTTGCCGGTGGAAGCAAAGCAAAACGCTTGCTAGCTAAGGTCCCAAAGCCTCACATAGGAACCCAATAACCGTGTTTCACTGATTTCTGATTTGGCAAGGCTGTACAGTACTTGTCAAGAGAACTTAGCAAGGTGGGGTGAGATGATCTTGACTGATTTCAGGAATAGGATGGCCTCGGGATAGCTCCATTTTTGGCTCAAGAGGGACGGGACTGCCCCATTTGAAAATGGGATCAACCACATGACAAGTAAGGCCCACGTTCATTCTCTCTCTCTCTCTCTTAATTTTCTTTCCTCTTCTTCCTCCGGATCTCCGTACAGATGCCACCTCCATGCCTGTGGAGGTCGCACGCTTGGAGGCGTGGGCTCGCGCGCCGACTCCCATGGATATCGGCCTCGCGCGCCGCCGCGCATAGCCGTCGGCCCTGCGCACCGCTGCCGTGGTGCTCGTCGCGCCTCGAGCTCGCCCAGCCGCGGCCCATGGCTGTCGGTCGCCGTGCCTCGAGCTCGCCCTGTCGCCACGCATCGAGCTCACCCTGTCGCCGCTCGCCCGCGTGGGAGTTGCTCAGCTCGCCCAGGCACTGCCCCATGGCCATTGCTCGCCCACGCGAAGTGGGACGGACTCCGTCCGTTGTTTTTTGGGGGACGAGGGTGGTCCCAGTTTTTCCAAATATGCTACGAATATTCCTCGGATGGGACGTCCCACTTCCACTTGACTGCCAACCAAACAGCTCCAGGAGAAGGACCATCCCATCCCATCTAATCCCACCGACGAAACACACGGTTACTCCATAAAATGAAATGAGAATAATCTTGTCTTTTGTTCATAAAGTTTTAAAAAAGCTGATATTAATATTTATAACACATAATTAGCATTATTAGATAGATCGTTAATCCTTTTTATAATAAATTTAAAAGATATTGCTAATATTTATTCGAAACTAGTCGAACTTACCATAGTGATACTTATATAAAAGAAAGAGAGTAAATATTTGAGTACAACTCCAAATGCAGAGGTAAAAGTCACTTAGATGATTACGTCTAAAAGCTCATAAATATATGGGACGAAGTTGCGTGGCTATACTTGAGCTACTACTCAAGATGGTTTATGTGAAACATTCAAATAGGAATTTATGGACAGCCAAATAGTACTCAGTAGTCAATTTTACACTCTCACCCGTAGCTATTAGAATTTTATTTGTCCTGTTTTCGAAACTTTATCTATTTTAGAATATAAATCATTTTGCTACACGCTTACATATACATTATATTTAGAAATATAATTAAGATTATATATAAAAAAATAGAATGACTTATAATTCGGAACAGAGTGAATAAAGATTAGTAATATGACAAGTATATAGTCCTTAACTACTTTCTTTCTCTTTCGCTTTCACTTGGCTCTTTTTTTTCATAAAATATATTCAAGCTTGACCACTTGTATATATGGGCAACGGGCCGGCCCAGCACGGCATGGCTGGGCCTGGCATGTCGCCGGGCCGTGCCTCCCTGGGCTTCGTGCCTGGCCGGAGGCCCATCGTGCCGTGCCGGCCCAAAAAGCATGGCCAGGCTAGCAGGCCAGGCCGGCCCACGGCCCGCTTCAGCAGGGGAAGGAGAACAGAGGATGCCGTCGGGGAGCGCGACAACGTGGAGGAGGCGGCGACCGCCGCTCGAAGCCGGCCGCACGCTCCACGGGAGGTCGGGAGGAGGTCGTCGCCGCACAAGATCGGGAGGAGCCCTCAGAGCCGAGGAAGGAGGCGCGGAGAGATGGGTGGGTGCGCGGGGGCGCTGTCGCCGGCTCACCGCCGGTCCGCCCAGGCAAGCCGTCACCGCAGACGTCGTCGAGGCAGGAGGGGAGCCATCGTCGAGCTTGCTCCCACGCGAGGCAGGAGGAGGAGGAGGGGAGGACGCGAGGGCGTGGAGGAGGAGGTCGCGCTCCAGCGGCGTCGCCTCATGTGAGGAAGGAGGGGTGTCCATGGGCGAGGAGGAGCGAGTGTAAGCGTGGGGAGGCAGGCTGCAGCGTCTTGTGAGGGGGGGGGAGGAGTGCGACGCGGGGAGGGAAGGAGTCTTGCTGAGTTAGGGTTCGGGGCCTCGCGGCGTGGGCCGTGCGGGATGCTCTTTACTCTTAGCAAGACGAGCCACCACCGAGCCTTGCGCTATGGAGCGGGTCGTGCTTGGGCCGGACAAAAGAATGGACCTCGTGCCGGGCTGACGGGCTGCATGCCCATCTATAACCACTTGTGTGCCTTCTGATTTTTTGATTCGAGGTTTTGAACATATTGCGAGAGCACCTGAGCCGTCCATTTTTCCACTCTGCGCCCGCCCACCTGTGAGCTCCAAGCTCCCCACACAGGGATACCGCAATTGACTTCCTTTCAAGATTCATTAAAAAATGATAAAAATAAAACATAAAAAAAGCAAAAAAAAAAAAAAACGGCACAAAATCGGAAAAACGCAATTTCTCCGTTCCCCTTCATCGCGACTTCCTCCGCTCCAACTCGCGTCGCGTGGGAAGCCACCGCCCACGCCGCGAAGCAGCTCGTTAGCTACCTCTCCCGGCGTTGCCCCCCCTGCCGTGGATCCGGTTGCCCTCTGCGGCGGAACCCCTACCCGCCTACCGCGCCGTGCCGTGCCGGCTGCGGAGGGGGAGCGATGGCGACGCACGAGCGGAAGACGATCGATCTGGAGCAGGGGTGGGAGTTCATGCAGAAGGGCATCACCAAGCTCAAGAACATCCTCGAGGGCAAGCCCGAGCCGCAGTTCAGCTCTGAGGACTACATGATGCTCTATACGTGCGTATGCTGCCGCGCCTCTTCCCTCCTCTGTCTTTTAGACACGCTCCTAGTCAGATTTTGCTTGCTTAGTTGTTGCTTCGCTAATCTAATCTAGGCTCTGTTCTGATGCGGCAGGACGATTTACAACATGTGCACGCAGAAGCCGCCGCATGACTACTCCCAGCAGCTCTACGAGAAGTACCGCGAATCATTTGAGGAATATATCACATCCATGGTGAGAGTCACTTTGTGCTGATTCTTTGGTGAACTAGCTCGGTTCGTGTTTCCATTTTGCTAGATTAGTGTGGTTTGTTGAGTTGAAGCCCAGTCCAAAGACATTCATGGAAATGCTGCTTCTTGCTTGTTGCACAGAAAGCAGTGGATGGATAGACATCGCACATCGCACATTGCAGAGTTATATAGA